CCCTGACAAGCAGAGCCTGCAGCAAGCCAGGCTCTGGCTGGGCAGAGCTGCCCTTTCCTCTGGGGGAGAGCCGCCTTCCTCCCAGAGCCCTCCTCATCCTCTGCGCAGCCAGCGTACCGCAAACCCCTTCTGATGAAACCAGTGGGCTGGCAGGAAAGGGCAGCGGCCCCGTTCTTGCCCGCGAGGGAAGGTTTGAAGCAGACAAACGCAAGTTGGCATCTGTCACATTCAGGCTGCCCTGGGAGGCTGACGGGGAGCCGGCAGCAGGGCTGGGGGCCTGCCTGAGCCACGGGGTTTGTTGCCCACATCAGCGCCGAGACTGCCTTCGTGCTCAAGCCCTGAGTGGTTTGGATCGTGCCAGGCCAGAGCGCTCTCGGCATCTTAAGTATCTTTAGTTTTTTGCCAAGAAATAAAACTCCCACCTTGCTTGGGTATAGCTGCACAGACCCCCTGCGCCGTGCGTCCCTGCTGTAGGGATGGGGAGAGCCTTTCTCTTCATGGTGTCTGTTGGTAGCAGTGACAGTATAACTTATGAACTGGGCTCAAAAAATCGTAAGGTTAAAAAAGAAACTGCCATTACCCCTGGATTTAGCATGGACCCGGTGCACTTAATTTATGTGCTCACGTTTCAGAGCCCTTGGGGGATCACAGGGAGAGTTTTTCCTATGCAGACTGCACGTTCGTGTGTAGTTTTGCCAGCAGGAGTAGCGCTTTGGAGAGATTCAGGCTACGGCATTGGGAGGACAGATGCTGACGACTGCTCCATCTTGCGGGAGCGTGCTGGGAGGCTTTTCAGCAGTCCGGATTTTGTCCCTTGTGCTGCTCCCTAGCTGGCAGGGAGGCGCGATGCACTGGCGGACCCAAACGTGTTGCTTTGCTGCTGGTAGCACTGGACGCGTCTCGCAGCACCTCAAATGCTGCCCGCTCGCCCTGCCCGCTCCGTGATGAACTCGGGCATGGCACTAAGCTGGGCAGGGATCATGAGAGCATCTCTCAGCCCTGGGAGCTGATGGGTCTGCATGAAACGCCTTTTTAAATGTCTCCATAGAGTTGTTCAGCTGTAGGAAAAAATGCCTTTCCAAAGGAGAGGCGAATCGGCATCGGCTGGGCTGCTGCGGGAAAGGCTCAGCGTGGCTGGCTCTGCAGCATCGGGTTCCTGGGGAAGGAGGGGTGTCGGTGTGCCAGAACGCTTGTTGTCAGACCCAGATCAATAGCCTGCAGAACCGTGGGGCTGTGTAATTTTCCAGTGCTTTGATCAGCCCCTTTAATAAGTCTGTGTTTGACACTAGACATCTATCCTGCGCCCTCCCAGGGGACTCCGGCAAACAGATTGCCAGTGGAGCCTGTACGTGCGCGCGTCTTTCTGTGGAGTCATCGCCGTCTCCCATCGCCAGCAGAGCCAGCTCCTCGGGCTCCCCGCTCGCTGCATGCCCGGGCAGGGAGCCTGGCAGAGGAGGGCACGGCTGCTGGTGCTTTCTGGGCACCCGCTGTGGTTCGGTGAGTGCCTGACGCTGCCTTTCAGCAGAGCCCAGTGCAGGGAGTTAGGCAAAGCCTTGCACGGGGGCTTTACTGCCAAGTACCAGCTGCAAAGAGCCAACCGAGTTGCCACCGAGCTGGGAGGGTCTGTGAGGCCAGACTGAACTCCTGGCATTGCCTGTGGTTTATCCCCAGGTTCTCCATTGCCTTTAGTTTTTTCGGGAAAATGTTTGTGTGAACACTGAGATTTTTTGGGAAAAAACTGCCCCATTTCCTCTGCAGCTTCAGAAATGGTCATTGCACGTGTCTCTCGCTCCCGGTCTTTCTCCTTCTTGCTTGCACTGTCCCAGCACAGGGGCCCAGGGCCAAAATCTCCTATTCCCATCTGTCAGACTAGGCTGAAGGGAAAACTTCAGTGAGTTGTTCGGTTCCTTTATCATCTGCAAGAAACCCGGGAGGAGACCGCCAGCCTGTTTGTCTGCATGGCAAAGCAATTCTCCTACCTGGGGAAGAGGCAGCGCGCTTGCGTGTTTGTCGTCACATGTCTGATGAGGACATTTTCCCGAAGGTCAGGTGGGGATGTTCTCTGCCTTAAAATATACTGTCCGAGAAGTTTTACATCCTTCCATCTAGCCCATTGATTAACGATGGTGGCTGGACTGATGAGCACGCCAGAGAGAAAGGAGAGGGACTCACGTGCTGAGCTTGCAGAGGGACCCCAAGTCTCGTGCGCTGTTGGCAGGGCCCTCCCCAAGGAGGCTGCAAATGCCTGCGCTCTGTCCCAGGCTTGGCTGGGGCTGCTGGCCCCATGGGCAAACTGGTCCCCTGAAATGGCTCCAGACCCCTCCAGCCAGGGGAGCGCAGCCAGATGCGTCACTGTTAGGTGCACAGCCATGTTTGGCTTCAAGCTGTTAAACCACAGATTGTTTGGTCCCACAGGCTTCACCTGAGTGACTCTGTGAGACCAGGCTCTTGGCAGCTCCCGATCCCTGCGATTGCTGCCACCCCGTGAGCCGGTCACTCCTCTGCTGGGGAAATCACCGCTCTGGTAACAGCGATCGTGCCGGCGCAAACCTGGAAGCAGGATGCAACCTCTGCGCGTGCTGAGGCTTCCCAGCGTTAGCATCGATTTGTTTGCATTCAGGCTATCGTGTAGCGGAGCCAGGTCCTGGTGTTTTGGGAACAAAGGGCTGCGAGCACAGCGGTCCGAGTCCTTTCTCCCGCTCTGTTTTATGAATGAACAAAGCACGCTGAGAAATCCTAATCCGGGCTGCTAGCTTGGCACGTCAGCGCGGGCTGCTCGCTGGTGGCGGCACAGCTGCACGCTCCCGTTTCATCACCAGTCTGGTAGGGTCTCCTTGGGCTGTTGGCTGGGCAGGTAAGTGAGCCCAAGACCAGTTAGCCTGCCTGACTAGTCCCTCTTGGGTGACTTCAGAAGGACCCTGGACCTACAAGAAATCCTAATCCGGGCTGCTAGCTTGGCACGTCAGCGCGGGCTGCTCGCTGGTGGCGGCACAGCTGCACGCTCCCGTTTCATCACCAGTCTGGTAGGGTCTCCTTGGGCTGTTGGCTGGGCAGGTAAGTGAGCCCAAGACAAGTTAGCCTGCCTGACTAGTCCCTCTCGGGTGACTTCAGAAGGACCCTGGACCTACGTTGACAGCACAAGTTAACTCTCCGTTGAAGTACGTACAGCTTCACACACCCACAGTTTGGGGTTACTTCTATCCAGCTAGCCCGTGTGTTGGATGTCACCAACCTCCATTCTTCTGTTTTGCAAATCGTATCTCTGTCTAGTCAGCCGAACTGACGACTCTGCAGGCAGGAAAGCCGAGGCACCGCCTGCTGCTTTGGGTCGAAAGACATCTGCGTTCCCTGAGCTCCTCTCTGCTTAGGCGGGAGTAGAACGTGGCACTGATTTCCTCTTGGGAAATGTTTCTGCTGTGGAGTAAGGTCACGGATGCGGCAGGAGGCTGCCTGTTGTGACGTGAGCTCTGAGTTCTCCTGCCGCTTCGGTGACGACTTTGCTTTGTTGCAGCTGCTGTGGAAGCCTGTGTCTTGTACGGCTTGAAGCGGAGGGCGGCAGGATTCCTGCGCAGCAACAAGATAGCAGCCCTGTTCATGAAGGTGGGCAAGAGCTTTCCTCTGGCAGAGGAACTTTGCAAGAAGGTGCAAGACCTGGAGCAGCTCATTGAGAACGCGTAAGGCACCAGCATTGCCGTTATCCCACAGGTCACTTGCGTTTCGGTCTGGGTGCGTGGTTTGGGTATGGCTGTGGATCACGACGTCCAACTTGAGCCTCTGCGGGAGGAATTGCTCTTTCGGTGGAGCAGAGTCCTGCCTTGGGTTTTTGGTATCTTGACTGAGCTGGTTGCTTTTCTAGGAGGCTGTGAGTTGTGGTTTAAGCTAGGATGGACAAGTTCTTATTCCTTTTGCCCCTTGTCTCATGCCAAGCATGTTTGCTCCTGAACTGTCACAGTTTATGGACCAGTGCACTAAGCCAACTGGAACCAGGTTTGGTCTGCCTGAGTGTGCAGGGCTTGAACCTGCAGTAATTCAACTTCTCTTTGAGAGTGGCTTACTCATCCTTGGACAGGAACCAGGGAGATGGATGGTGCAGCTACCTGGGGGCAGGAATCTTTATGCTGCCCTAAGATAAGCTGCTTTGCTTGTGAACTGCTGTCCTCGGGCACAGTGGAAAAGGTGTGTGGGTTGGAGGACTACCAAGGCAGAGGCTTGTCCTAGGCTGCCTTTACGGTGGGAAACCAATTTACTGAGGTCAGCTTTCAAATGCAGATGTGGGCCTTCGGGATTAGGGGTGGAATAGATGAAGGGAGCAGCCTCCAGAGCCCGGTCCCCATCACCCCCCCAGCCACCACAGTCAGCACCACCAAAACTCCGGCCTTGTGCCCCCAAGGTGCTGTGAGTGCCCTGGGCTCCTGCAGTGCGCAGTGATGGGCCAGTGATGTTGTTGTCTTTTGCCTTGCACCTCTAAAGACGAAATCAAGTCCAGGGCATCCCGGAGAATGTGCGCAAGATGCCGAAACTGCCCAACCTGTCTCCTCAAGCCATCAAGCACCTCTGGATCCGCACAGCCCTCTTCGAAAAGGTCTTGGATAAAATTGTGCATTACTTGGTAGAAAATAGCAGGTGAGTGCTGGCGCAGGCCAACCATTTACCCCTCCCAACTCACTACCAGCATCTGCCCCCTCTGATGGTTCTGGAGGTGTTGCTGGCTGAGCTGTGTCCAAGTGGCCCAGAGAAGTGCCTGGATGGGACAGGCAAGTTGTGTCACTCTGTGCCCAGCACGGGGACTCTGAATGATACCCTGCTACTGGTGGCCACTGTACATTCCCTAAAATAAAGACAGGCCACGCTGGGTTGTCAGGGACTGCATCGTCCTTACCATCTGGAAGCTGCCTGCTGAGGTGTCCTGTCCTGGGGAGGTGTCCTCTCCAGTCCTGGGGATGCTTTTTTTAGGAGATGGTGATGCTTGCAGTGTGCTGCAGGAGGGCATCTATGCCCCAGGAATTTCACAGCTAGCAGAAACAGCCTGTTAGGGTTTCTTGCCCTCTCACCATCAAGGAGTGATACAGAAAGAGAAGGAAGGGCACTACAGTGATTTAAAACCACTGCCTCTGTCATTTTTGTAGTTACAGGGGGTTGAAATGCTATATTATCGCTCTCTACAACTGCCTGACAGGAGGCTGTAGTGAGGTGGGGGTCGGCCTCTTCTCTCTGGTAACGGGCGATGGGACGAGGGCAAATGGTCTGAAGTTGTGCCAGGGCAGGTTTAGGTTGGACATTGGGAAAAATTCCTTCCCCTTGGGGCTGTCAGGCACTGGAAGGGGCTGCCCAGGGAAGGGGTCGAGTCCCCACCCCTGAGGGGATTTAAAAGCCGGGCAGACGCGGTGCTTAGGGCCAGGGTTTGGGGGTGGGATGGCAGGGGTAGGGGAACGGTTGGGCTTGATGATCTTAAAGGGCTTTTCCAACCTGAACGATTCTATGATTCTATGATAACATTCTGCTCTCTATTTCTTCCAGTAAGTACTATGAGAAGGAAGCTCTCCTGATGGATCCTGTGGATGGGCCAATTCTTGCATCCTTATTGGGTAACACCTTCCTCTTACCCTACTTTGACAGTTTGCTTTCCAAACCTGTGCTCCCCAGTTCTGTGATCTGGGCTGTGAAATGCAGTTGTCTTCTAGTAAAAACTTCAGCAAACTTAATCGCCCTGGACAGGTAGCCCTGTGGAGTGCTTGTAAAAACCACGCGATGCCCAGCTGCTGAGCACTGAATAGAGATGGAGAGTTGCAAGGCTGAGGTGTCCTTTTCTTGCACAGGCTTCAGTAATTCTGATGGGCATAAACCAGGGCCTGGGAAGCGCTGGGGCCGGGGAAGCAGCACGGTGCTGCAACGTAGGGCTGGGCATAAACATGAGCATTCAGGCTATTGCTCGCTGCCGGGGCCGGCTGACCCCTCTGAATTCTCCACTGCTGTTATACAGTGCAGCAGCGACGTGTGCTAAGCCTGGTGCTTGTTGCTGGCTGTCCCACCGCCCCTTCTCTGAGATGCTGAGCTCTGGGGATCTGAGAAGTGACTGCAGCCAGCGGGACACCACCGATGGCTTCCTTAACGTTTGCGATTTTCTTCTCTGTGCAGTGGGGCCCTGTGCGCTGGAGTACACGAAGATGAAGACCGCTGACCACTTCTGGACAGACCCCTCAGCTGATGAGCTGGTCCAGAGGCACCGGATCCACAGCTCGCACTGTCGCCAGGACTCGCCCACCAAGCGCCCAGCGCTCTGCGTGAGTGGGGGGCCGGCCAGGCTGGGAGGGACAGCCCCTGGCAGCGCTCCCCCGGGGGCACACAGGCAGCACTCGCCAGGGTTTGGGGCTCCGTCTGTTTGAAAAGGGCTGTGAAGCCCTCTGATGAGGAAAAGGTAGAAAAGCACCGTTACTTGAAGTCTTCAAGCCACAAGTGCTGGGAACGTGGGCCATGGAGACTGCAAGTGTGCTGGATCAAGGCGGCGCTGTGTCACGGGGTCTCCGGCCTTTGGGAACAGCATCTGTGAAGGAAAAGCAAAGGCAGCTGAAGTCTGCTTTGTTTATTGCAAGCAAAACACACTCCTGGGGCTTCTCTGAGTACAGAGTCGAGCTTGGCCAGAGCCAGGAATCCTCTTAGAGGGCACAGAGGGAAAGATTTCTAGAAGTGACTTTCTTAAGTGAGGAGGGAATGAGCTTTCAGGATAAGCTTTCTGAAAGCAAGAGGTGTCTGTGCTGACCTCATGTTTATAGGTGGATCTCTTCCAGATTCAGAAAAGGCATTCGAGTGGCAGCATGGATGACCGGCCATCGCTGTCTGCCAGGGACTACGTGGAGTCGCTGCACCAGAATTCCCGAGCCACGCTCCTCTACGGCAAGAACAACGTCCTGGTGCAGCCGGTACGTACCTGCTGGGGCATCTGGGCTTTGTGGTACTGCTTGGCTTCCCGGTAGGTAGTTCTGCCCCAAGTTGCTCTTTGATGGAGAAAAGCACAGGCTCGTTTCTAATCTGGGAAGACAGTGACTGGACTGCGTTGTTTGAGGTCCTGGTGATATGGATCCTCCCAGTGGAATGGAAGAACTCTGCTTCTGTCTGAGTAGAAGCAGGCTCCTCTCCCTGCCTGCTCTTGACCAGAGGCCACAGAACCCTGCTCCCATCCCTTTCTGCTTACTGCAGTTCCGATAAATGAAGGGCAAACTGCTTAGGTGGAGCTGTTAAGTTTGCCTCAGCTGGGCAGCTGCTCTCGGCCCTTTTCCAAGCTGCTGAGGTGTCCTCTTGTCTCTGCTGGGAGGTTTTGCAGGGCCACTGTGGGTTTCTCGCTGGTGGCGAGTGGACAGGCTCAGGGGCAGCGGGCAGGGCTGTGTTACGGTTCCAGGGCTGTGCTCCAGGGCATGGCTCAGCCTCGGGTGGCCTGAGGTGGTGCTTCGTGCTTCTGGCATCTTCCAGCCTGCTCTCACCAGCTCTTGCTGCGTTTCTCTTCTCCAGCGAGACGACATGGAGGCAATCCCGGGATATCTGTCCCTTCACCAGACCGCCGACATCATGGCGCTGAAGTGGACTCCCAACCAGCTGATGAACGGCTCTGTAGGGGACCTGGACTATGAGAAGAGGTGACTGGCTCCGCATGCGCCCTAGCACAGGGCAGAGGGGCGGCAAATGTTCCCCAGGTTCAGAGTTTGGATCTGGTATCCGAGGCCATCAGTGAGTTTTCCCCACTAACTGCAGAGCAGAACCTCTGAGGCTGTAACGGGGAAAGGGACGGGGAAGGAGGCCTGAGGTGGTGGGAGAGGGGGGCTGCGGGAGGTAGAGTGAGATGCTGTGCTATTGCCCGTCTCCGGGAAGCTTTCAGCAAAGGAACCGGGGGGTGCTTGTTCTGAAAGACGCAAAGTGGCTTCATTTGTTGCCCCCAGGGTTTTTCTCGGGAGAATGCCCTCTCTACACATACACGATGCTTTCAGGTTTATCGTGGTTATTTTAAGCTGGGGAGCTGAGGAGCTCACAGACAGGGGAAGAGCATCCGCAGAGAGGGGGAACACGAGCGGCTCCCAGATAATCACGCCTCGGTAACAGCGTGCGTGCCGCTCCGTGCGGCTGTGCCGGCGCAGTCTGCAGCTGCTCCCACGTGCGGGTGCTCAGAGCCCCTTGGATTTATCGGCGTCCCTGGAGCTTGTTCCTCCAGCAGGGCTGAGGTTTGCTTGGGTCGCTTGGCAGGGTGTATCGCCATGCCCTTTTCCCTGGGATTGCCTTATGGGCTGCTGGCATTTCTGTTGATAGCTGCAATCCTTGTAACAAATGACGGAATCATGCCAGGTCCCGATTTACCTGAGAAACCAAACAAAGCAATCAAAATCCCTTTCCACCAGCAAACGCTCCAGGAAAGCTGGAGTGGTTGGGACACTGATTCTTTGACTTAGGGTAAAGATCTTCTTCAGCAGGGCTTGTTCTCAGTTTTGTTTATTCTCATTTGTAGTTTTTTGGGGTTTGTTTACCTGTTTTTTTTTTTCATCTCCCCTTTCTTCTTGGCCCCTGGGCCATTCCGTTATACCTGGTACCCTCCCACTAAAACACTGTTTTCATCTCTACACTACTTTTCTGAGTTCTTGACTTGGGCATCAGCCTAAGCTCTAAAACTTCCCAGTGTCAAGATGTGACCAAGGAAGAGAAGAGTCAGATGGCAAAGTAAGTACGAATCTACCAGGAGTGACTCTTATGCACCCCTCCCATCCTTCACTGCCTCCATGAGCCATTTTATAATGCCTTTATTTTGTTTTTGTGAAGTGGCAGGTAACACTGCTCAGAATCTGGAAATTAGCTTTGTTGCAAAGAAGTAGGGTGTTAGTAAACACTGACACGCTCGTGTGTGCTCCTGCTAGGCTCTCCACAGAAACGACAGCCTGCGTGAGGCCACGTGTCTCCTGGCGAGATCCCCTTCCCCAGCTTCCTCCTGGTGTCTCTCTGGCCCTCTGCCCTGCCCGGTCACCGCAGCTCTGCCAGCATTTTCCAGATTTGCTCAGTCCCCTGGAGGCGCCTGTGCTGAGGGAGCACAGCCCTTGAACAGGAGCAGCTGGGACCAAATCTATTTCAGCTTTGAAAAAATCCACAGATGACAAGGGTTTATTTCCCCCTCCCTTGGGGACAGGAGCTCAGCAGAGCAGCAGCCCAGGCTCGGACCGCGCTGCACGTTCCCTTGGGGCTCTGGGGCTGCTCTTACCAGGTTCGTGGGGTTCTCCCAGCACCGCAGCAAGGCGAGGAGTCCTTTCCAGGGTGCCCAGGGGAGAGTGCTCAGCTCTGTAGGGCTCCATGTCCCTCCCTGCAATTGCCAGGATCCATGGGCACGTTGTCCATGTCTGGGAATGATGTGAGGATAGAGAAACAGCCTGGGGCAGGTGGGACTGGGCTTGCCCTGATGGAACTGTAGTGGTGGGGACAGTTTCTGGTTCCAGAGGGGTGTAGTCACTGACGCAGGCTGGCTTCGTGGCAGTCACACTGCTGCTGGGACCTCATCCTTTCTGCAGCTTCCCCTGGCGCCAGGATAGCTGGAGGCAGGATCTGGAGCTGACGTGAAGAGAAGCAGGAGCCTCTTGCATCCCTGAAGCTCACGACCTCCCCTCTTTCTCTGTTCCAGCGTGTACTGGGACTACGCCATGACTATTCGCCTGGAGGAGATTGTCTATCTGCACTGTCACCAGCAAGGTAAGGCGGGGGGGGCTGCTGGAGGGTGTTATCACCCTGGCTTCATTAGATCTTTGGGGAGTGCCCCTATGGGGATGCTTTGATTCAGCTCCAGGGCAGATGGCCAGAGCTCTGGCTGGTCACTGCTATATAAGTGCTTCTAGGAAAACCTTTAAACCAGCTCCTGGTTGTGGTGCTTGGCTGGGGAGCGCTCCCTGCAGAGCAATGCTCTGTGGTTTTCAGGAATGCAATCTCCCAGGCAAGCCTTCTCCAGGGCCCAGACTTCTAATGGACTTAGCGAAGAATCCAAACACAGAAGAAATGCTTTGTTTTGCGCATCAAAAAGACAATTCCTTGAGCTTTCTTGCCTGTTCTCTGCATTTCTGAGTGGTAACCATTTCCCTCATTCATGCGTGTGTCTTCTCTCTGCTGTCACTGTTGCTAATAGTAGACAGCGGTGGAACGGTTGTCTTGGTGAGCCAGGATGGGATTCAGAGGCCCCCGCTGCGGTTCCCCAGAGGAGGGCACTTACTGCAGTTCCTGTCCTGCCTGGAGAACGGCCTCCTGCCCCATGGGCAGCTGGATCCACCCCTCTGGTCACAGCGGGGAAAGGTAGGCACCCCAAAACGGGGCTTGCTCCTGAGCCCACGGCGCTGTGGGTTCTTGCTGGTGTTCCTTTGTGGAGCAGAGCTGATGGGGAGGGCCCTCTGCCCGACCTTAGGGGCTGCTGCATTTTAAACAATCCTCCCCCCAAAACTAAGAAGGAAGGTGGGCTTTAGGTATGGCAGTTTGGTTTAGCTCATGGCCTTGACCAGCTAAACAGACCCTTCTGGGCAGATCAGAAGGGAGGTGGTGTGGGGGTGCTGGCCAAGAGGCATTGGTGGTTTGGTTCTCATGGACCTGGCCGTGCTGCATGGATTACGTTATGTGCACAAACAGGGTTCATCATGTAACTGAAAGCTTAATCCAAAGGCTGCTCCAGCACAGGGAACACACAAACATCATCCGGGCTGACAGAGCACATGCTCTTGTTGGGCAGGAGTTTGGCAAATGGGCCAGCGACCATGCCAGCCTGCGCGGTCGAGCGTGGGGTGGCTTGTGAAGGACAGGTTTTGTTCACCCAGGGGAAGGTGTTTCCCAAGCTGAGGAAGCGAAGTCCCCAGGGCTCCTCCGAGTCTGCGTCCGACAAGGAAGATGATGAAGCCACAGATTATGTTTTCAGGATAATCTACCCAGGGACACAGTCTGAATTCGGTGAGTGCGTTGGCAGGGAGTGTTCCAGGTGGGTTGTCGTGGGGCGTATGAGCAGCCAGGGACGCAGCGCTGACGGGCACATGGCAATTCATGCCAGGAGATGGTTCCAGGGAAAGGGGCTTTGCCCGTAACAGTACTGCCTTGTATTCAGCATCATGCACGGGCTGGGGTTTATGGCTTCATTTTAACCTTTCACTTGCTACCGAGTCCTTTGTTTCTGCGGCTGCACAGCAGGCCATGACTGCCTTAATGGCTGGAAAAAGAATTCTTGCGCATAATTTCAGTAGTAAGGTTCACTTTGGTCGTGTTCCTTGGGGGTCACTTCTCACCATCACAAGCCTTCAGGGCTGATTCTTCTCTTGCTGTCACCAGGCCAACTTGGCAAGTGCTGCACTGAATCCAGCTGTGTCCCTTCAGCATTGCTTCTGCAGCGCAAAGGAGAGGTTGCAGCCCCCTTCGCTGGGTACTGCCAGGCTTCACCCATGTGTCTTCACTCCCTGGCTCACAGGGCAGGAGAGAGGATGCTGCTGGCTTCACCAAACCAGAATTCTCTCTTAATGTCTGGTTGTCAATGGTCTGAATAATGCGCTTGGCTCAAATGACTGTACACTTGTCCTCCCTCTTCTGTGGGACACTAAGAACAATTTTTTGACCTCTGGGAACATCATAGATGACTTCATAAGGGGGAAGACCAAGAAGGCAATAGAAGACTTGTGGAGTGCTTTTAAAACGCTATGAAATTTGATCAAAAACTTGTTCCTGTATTTTTGAGGCTAGAAGGGGGCAGTCACATCTCCTGTGCCTCCTCCATAGCGTCAGTTAAGATCGTACGTAGTTCTCCCTGCCTTTAGCTGACTAACACAGTTCAGTGAGTCAGATAAAAATCCGATTGAGGCTAAAATAGCAGATAGAGATGCTCCTTTCTGTAGCTTCCTTTTGATCTACCCCTTAAAATTCCATGCTGGGGGCCAAATTTTCTGTGAAATGAATTGCTGCCATCTCCTCATTTGGCATCATCAAAGCCTGTGCAGTTCCCGTGGACCTTCCCAGAGAGGGGTGGAACTGCGTCAGTTCTTTCTTCTCTACAGATTCTTCCTTTCTCCCCTTTCATTTGTGCCCTTGTCCTCTCTCTGTGTCTCCAGTTACCATTAATGGTAATTTTCATCCATTCCTTGCGTCTGTGATCTCCATCACTGCTGTGAGAGGGAAGATGGCAAGGACTCCAGCTGCAAGCAAGACGGTGGTGATCCCTAAATGGTTTCTGAGTCTCCCCACCACGTCCCGACCTCCCCTTGCCACTCTGGGGGCCTCTCGGTGTCAGTGTAACGCGGCTGTCGTTTGTGTCTGGTACTGCTGCTTGCTGGTGTTGTCACTTGGTAATTCCTGCGGAGGAATCATCTCTGTCGCTGTTGTTATTACCCCGGCGCTCTGACCGTCACTGACCCATCAGCACCTGCTCAGAAAGAAGGAAGTAGGAATATTGCAGCATTTTTCTTGCTAGTATCAGTTATTCAATATCACAAGCAGGGAGAGTCGGTGAGACCAAGGGCGAGTGAGGAGGCCCTCACCCAGCTGGAAGCTGGCATTTGTACCACGATTTAATTGCCAAGGAGGAGCAAGTAGGATTATTCTTCATTAATCTTTTCCCGCATCCCACAGTTCACCTTCTAATCATGATGGCCCTTTCCTAGGGAGGCCCAGGATGGAAGGGCTGGGTCTGTTCCAGGCCAGGCCAGCAGCCAAGCTGCTCGGCGTGGGGCAGCCTGGCTCTCGGGGCCGCACGCTCCCCGTGCGCTGGCTCTGCGCCTGCTGGGTTTGCAGGGCGATGCCTGGGCAGGATCCGAGGCCGCTGCAATTGCGCTTCTGAGTTGAAGCAGGGATTTAGCAAGTGACAACATGAAAAGCTACTTGCTCCTGCTGGCCCTCTCAACCTCTTCATCGAAGTCTTTATCAGCTGTCTTGTGATTTGGATGCTCCTGTCTTTCCCTGAATCTGGGATGGGATCCTGGTGTTGGAGAGATGGGGGCTTTTCTCTTCCGGTGATCCACTCTTCCTGGGGCAACGGTTGATTTCAGTCGTGCTTTTTCTCATCCGTCGTGACAGTCTGCAGCCCCTCGTCTCAAGTCTCTCTGGGCTGGGAGTTTGTTTTCTGCTGTGGTTGGCACTCAGCAGTTTAACATTAGCTTGCTGAAGGCACTGTCGTTAATGAGCGGATGGTTCTCTCTCGCTGGCTCCCATCAGTGCTCTTTGTTTCCTTTCCTTTCTCCTGAGCTCACCGGTGCTGGTGCTGTGATTACCTGGTGTGGGTCCTACCTGGTTGCTGGCGTCTCCTTGGGAAGAGCATGGGATGCTGCATTTGCTGATCAAAACTCTCCTCCCTGCTGGCCTCCTGTGGCTCGCCCGGCAGCGCCAGGCAGCGCCTGATGCTCCTCTCTGCCCTCTTACAGTGCCCCAGGACCTGATGGACGCGCCGGGAGCGGGCCTGCTGAAAGGTAACGCTTGCTTTGGGAAACGCAGGTAAAATAAAACAAGGGTTACGGGTGAAAGCCCGGCCGGGTGGCTGAACTAAAGCAGTTACGGTGCAAGTGGTGCCTCCAGCTTCACGCTCGGCTGTTCAGGGACCATTTGCAGGGGCTGGTGGGACGTGTCCAGGCTGAAGTGAGACTCGTCCCCTCACCTGGGACATCTCAGCTGCTCTGTGGCCATGTCCTGGCAGCAAGAATTGCTGCTCCCAAGCTGAGCAGAGGTCCCGTGGCGCACCTCTGAAGGCAAAGCTGGAACAGTCAGATGAAAGCAGGGGCTGAGGGAATGCATGGGAGCGTTTCCTCTCCTCGCAGCCGATATGTTTTTGTTGGCAGAGCTCCGCTGAAGCTCCTGTGTGACAATATGAAGTACCAGATCCTCTCCCGGGCCTTCTACGGCTGTGAGTACCTGTCACATCCGTGATGCCTTGAGATGTGTGATGGGCAAGGGGTAAGGTCCTGGGCTCCGGGGCTAGGAGTGGTGCTGAGGCAGCAGGGCAGTGACCAAGGCTACTGGGACCAGTCTGTTGCATGCAGGGCTCTATGTACACATGCTCAGGATTGGGAGCAAACATCTGAGCTCTGATCCTCGGACTTCAGCCCAGCAAGCAGCAGTGCTGGTGGTACCAGACCATGAAATGCTGACCTGTCCCAGCGGACTCCCTGCTTTGCTGCTGAGGCTGGATGTGGGTGCAGAGGGCCTCCTTCAGGGACCAGATTCATCAGAGCTTGCTCCTGCACTTCATCCTCATGGCTCCCCGAGTTCCCTGGCTGAATGTTTGCTTCTGCCTGATGCAGGGCTGGCCTATTGCAGGCACCTCTCCACGGTGCGAACCCACCTATCCGCGCTGGTTAACCACAACATCGTGTCTCCTGATGTGCCCTGCAACGCCAGCTCGGGACTGACTGTGGACATATGGCAGAGATACATGCAGGACAGCACGGTAGGGCCAGCACTCTTGGGACGTGTCGGTGTGATGGGCTTGGGATGTCCAGGGCAGTGTCACTTAAGCGGTCATAGTGTGGTAAGGAAATTGGGGAGAAGAGAAGTCACACAGCCTGCCTCAGGCTGGACAGAACCCACAGCTCCTAATCCTCGACACGTGGAAGCTGGGGAATGAAGGCTGCTCTCCCTTCCGCACGCTTCTGCTCGGAGCCTGCCTGCAGCAGTGTCTGTCACCCTGCGTTCTGTGGTCTTGAGAGGGGTCCCAGCACGCTGTTACGGCAGGAAAGCTGTGACCAGTGCCGCAGTCCTGACGTGCTGCTGCGGCTCAAAGGCACAGCAGTGACCTTGAGTGACTTTGGGATGCTTTCTGGCTGTGGGGAGCCAGTGTTTCCCAAAATGTCCCTCCCTAGGGGCCTCTGGCTGTGCTTAAGCCCAAGTGGAGATCTGAGAGAGCATCTGCAATGAGTGGGCAGCGAGTCTGCGGGTGGGCAGCGTCTGGGCAGCAGTCTGGGTGCTGAAAGGTGGCATGGCTGGGCTGGGGTTGCCCTTCCATCTGCCAGCTGATGGGCTGTGGTCCTGGCTGCCTCTGTGCGCTGACTCGGAGCTCTTCCCGCAGAGTTACGAGGACCAGGAGCTGCTGCGGCTGATCTACTATGGTGGGATCCAGCACGAGATCAGGAAGGCTGTCTGGCCCTTCCTTTTGGGCCATTATCAGTTTGGGATGACAGAGGCAGAAAGGAAAGAGGTTAGTATGGGCGTGCTGCCAGCTCAGCAGCCTGGTGTACTGCATTGGTGTGCCCTGGATATTTCACAGCTTGAAGCATCCGTATGCCAGAGTTCACCTTGTGAACCCACTGGGTGTTGGGTCCCCTTTGTATGGTGGGTGAAGGACTCAGCTAAACAAGAATTGATAGGACCAGGCTCGATGCTCCCCTGCGCAGCTGCTGGCTGCTGATGTTCAGTGCCCTGCGCACCTCTGGAAAGCAGGAAGGAGATGGGTTTTTTCATCCTGATTTTTGTGAGATTTTGTGGGTCAGGCTCTGGCTGTCGCTGTGGGGGAGATGGGTGACTTTGTGTCCCCCCCTTATGAAAGCACGCACTTAACTTGGCTGTGCAGGGCTGTTTGGGGGGTAGAGGTGGTGCTGGTTTCGGGGCTGTTCCAGGGGCATCCGCTCAAAGCCTGTCTTTCTCTAACGCTGCAGGCTGACGACCAGATCCGTACCTGCTACGAGCACACCATGGCGGAGTGGCTGGGCTGCGAGGCCATTGTGCGGCAGCGGGAGAAGGAGTCGCACGCGGCGGCTCTGGCCAAGTGCTCCTCTGGGGCCAGCCTGGATTCCCACATTCAGAGGATGATGCACAGGGACTCGACCATCAGCAACGAGGTGAGGGTGCGGGGGCTCGGGAGGGTTGTGCCCACCCAGGCTCCACGTTGGTCTGCGCTACAGGGAGGGACGGAGACACGGTTCTTGCTCGCCCTCCTTCCCTGGCCTCTGCCTACCTCTGCTCCCTGTAATCCATGCAAGTTAGAGCTGGAGCTTTCTTACCTGTTTTCTTTCATCTGCTCTTCCAGAGTGTTTAGCAGCAGGAGTGGGCACCTCCTGCCGTGCGACCCCAGTTTCCATACTGGGTGGTACTGCACTGACCGAGGGGTTTTGGTCTGCAGCCTGACTGGTGTATTGGAGGTCTCGCAAATTTGCTTTGGTTCTTGCAGCTGCAGTATCCACAGCAGCACTGAACAGCTCGGCGTCCGTGACCCCAGTGGGGGTGCTGGGCACAGAGGGCCTGAAAGCCAGGGGCAGCAGGGAGAGGGCAGGGGGTCCTGGCCAAGGGCAGGGAGGCAGCCAGGAGCCCAGACCTCATTTGTGGAGCCATGTGTCCGAATCCAGACACTCTCACCAGTCCTGTGAAATGTTCCTTGGTGGGTATTTCTGGAGAACAAGAGAGATCCGTTACCTGGTTTGCATTCCCGGTGCACATCAGGATTAGCTCCATGGGAGTCAGTGTTGAAATAGGAGGAGGGAGGAAGACCATGCTTCTGGCACCGAAGGGCTGTGAAATAGGTCAGTGGGCTTCTTGACTCCCTCCTTCCATCAGCTGCTCTGCACAGAGGAAGCCTGGGCTGCTGCCTGCGGGCAGGAGGAGCGGAGCGGCCGTGAAGGAGCCTGCAGGGCTCGGGGCAGCCTCGGCACGCTGTGTCGTCACGGGACAGAGCTGGGCCCCCGCACCCAGCTCCATGGCACTGGCTCACAGCAGTGCGGTGCGGAGTTAGATCCACAGCCCAAACCAACGGGTGTGGGAGGGAAAAGCCTGCTGAAGGAAAGGCAGTCCTGGGAACAGAGTCCAGGGAGTGTTTCCGTGTGGGTTTTGTCCTTGGAGGGGAGCAGCCCAGCACGGCAGAGCAAGCTGCTGCACCAGAGCAGAGCGGAGGCCAAGCTGAAAAGGGCCCGGTAGGTGCAGCACTGGAGACTTCATCTGGTTTCCTCTGGGGAGGTTGTGTGGATGCTTTTGGAAAGAGATGAGCTCAGCCCCCACCGTGCGGGCTGCTGGGTGTGTACAGGGAGGGAGAGATGCAGGGAAGGCAAATCCAACCCGGGGTCTGTGTGCCAAGAGCTGGGTGACACCGCTCTCGCAGGGCATGTGCAGAGGTGGGCTGTGCAGTCGGCGCTGCTGAAGCCCCTTGAATCGTTCCCATCTCCCCAGCATCTCTGCTGTGGTTTTTTTTTTTTTTGTATCCACGTCCGCCTGTTCTGGGAACGTGCGCTGGAGGGGAGCTGGCAGGGTGAATACATGCAGAGGTTCACCCTTTTCCCATCTTAACTTGAAATTTCCTGTTATAAAATGCTCCCATAGTAATGGAGGAAAACTGTCGCCCTTCCTCTCTCCATCAGAGCCCTGCCCAGCAAACACCCACAATACTCGGGTGGGGACACCTCCTGCTGCCGCTCTGAGAGTGCCGTGTTTCCTTACAACCCTATTGTTTGTGCGTGATGTCATTGCGACGCGCTGTACATCCCGGCTCGCCTGCGGCCCGAGGAGCCTGGCACGGGGGCAGATAAGAGGGGAGGACCTGCACTGAACTGGAAGCTGGATGCTCAGAGGGAATCCACGAGGCCGGGCACTGAGCCGGTCGCCGCAAAGCCCGGTGCTTCCTTCTGTGCTTCAGCTGGAAGCCAGAAAAGGGTGCTGTCGGCTTTTAGAGGGGCTGCCTGGACTGAGTCTGGCTTGAAACATCAATATTTGTCCTTTAAGAATAGGAAAAACCACTAATATGCTTGGAGAGATTGTTTTATAGCCTGTGACTTCATCGTTTATGTAAACTAAGATGGGGTGAGCTGCGTTGCTGCCAAATTAGGACAGTGATTTGTAGAAATTTGCACTCCAGGGAGGCAGTGTGACCTCTCTGAAGGGCAGAAGAAAGCAGTTCCTTTCAGACCCAAACATACAGTGCTTGAACAACGGGATAGGCCTGGGACTTTTTGTTTTTTGCCATCTTCTCCAGCAGTAAATGCCAGTGGCAGGCTGGGGCCGGGTGCTGTGCTGCATGACAGATCTGCACAGCAGAGTCCGTGTGATGTGAACGTCTTGCGTGGGTGAAATGTGAGAATTTATTGGATGCGTTTTCTGCTTGTTCTTTACACGCAGATGTGGCCACCTCTGACAGCGTGGCTTGAGCCTCCCCCTGCTCCAGACACCGTGCTCTTTGCCTTTTCACTGGCCTTTTCCCTCTCTCTTGCAGTCTTCGCAGAGCTGCAGCTCTGGCCGACAGAATCACGCCCGGCTGCAGAGCGACTCCAGCTCCAGCACGCAGGTGAGCGGCAGCGCTTTGTCCCCCCCTTGCTCCTTCAGCCACCCGACAGCGTGCGTCTCTCGGCGCCGGCTTGAGCTGGTCGCTAATCGATAACCATACTGATTTCTGGCAAACGGAAGCGGTAGCTGGAGGAGGCAGATGACTCCCAAACCTGCCTCTGGAGCAGGTCAGAACCACGTGCCGCTTGCCAGTGTTTAATATTCACCAGCTTGCTCTGCCCAGGCTCACAGGACCAACCCCTGTGTGGCCTTCACACTCGAGAGCCCTTGGCTGCTCCGCGTGTTGGTGACCATGTGTTTAACCCGTTTAAATGACATTCTGCCCAATATATTACGCTGAGTAAAGCGTAGTCCTTTGGAGCAGGGGCTGTGGGCGCCGAGTTGTGCGAATGACCAAGCACTGACCTGCCAAATCCAGGCAGGGGAACCTAAAGGCTGAGGACTGTGCCCAGAAATTCCTCCAAGAGTTTGGTTAGAATGGGACAGAGAGCTGGATGCTCAGGCTGGGGTTGTCTCTCACTACAGCGAAGATGTGGAGCCACAGCCAGGCACAGCGCTAGCGAGTTAAAATGCCCTCAAGTCCTCCGAGCTTTCTCCCACTGGTTGCTTGTACTTGCCCTGCACGTACAGAGCAGATCGTCCTCCCTCCCTGCTGTTGGGAACATGGGCATTATGTCCCCAAGAGCTGCGTTTGTGTTCCCAAGAGTTTGCCGAATGCAGGAGGGTTTGCTCGCTCTCACGTGGCTCTGCTCGTGCGTTTGCAGGTGTTTGAGTCTGTTGATGAAGTGGAACAGACTGAAGCAGATGCTCAGCTGGAAGATGGCAAACACAGCAAGATCCCCAATGGGACAGTTCCCAATGGCACGTGTTCCCCTGATTCCGGACACCCCTCTTCCCAGAACTTCTCCATCGCATCGGGATTCTCGGAGCGCAGCTTCAGCAATGAGGACAGTGCCCTGGAAACCAACAAATCCTCGGCCAGCTCTCAGGGAAAGGCCGCTGGGTCCGATGTGCCAGGCCCACAGGACCCGGATGGTGCCCGGCAGGAGGAGAAGCTGCAGGGCCAAGACAGCCTGGAAGCTGAATTTCCCACTGGTGGAAGCGTGGACTTTGTTCCTGTGGGTGCGAGCTCGGCAGGCGTCCTGCGTGATCGTGACGCCGTGGCCCTCACCGTGGTGGAGAGCTGGGCAGACAGAGAAGCTGAAAAGCAGAGCTTGGTGGAGAGTGAAGATAACCTCTCTGAGGAGCCGGAGATGGAGAGCTTGTACCCGCAGCTGGATTCTCTGGCTGTAGCTGACCTGGCCAACAGCGAAGCGGCTGCTGTCTCCTCGATGGGCGTCACCTACTCTGTAAGTACGGGCCTGTCCACCGAGTGGGTGTCTTCCTGGGTGTCCCACTATTTACCTGCACTTCCCACTTGAGGTGGTGGAGGCCCCATCCCTGGAAACATTCAAGGCCAGGTTGGACGGGGCTCTGAGCAGCCTGATCTAGTTAGCGGTGTCCCTGCTCCTGCGGGGGGGTTGGACTAGATGACCTCTAGGGGTCCCTTCCAACCCCAAACATTCTATGATTCCCTGTGCTAATCCTGCAGTTGTGTGTACAGGGGCTCTCCAGCTTCCCCCCAAACCCTGCCCTGTCGCTCCGTTGCCCTTGCAACTTTCTTCTTGTTTTTTTTTTTTTTTACTTGAAAACAAATCAACTTTGCATTTGTTTTGGGCAGCCAGAGCTACTGGACATGTACACCGTCAACCTGCACCGCATTGAGAAGGACGTGCAGCGGTGTGACCGCAACTACTGGTACTTCACCCCTGCCAACCTGGAGAAGCTCCGCAACATCATGTGCAGGTGGGAGCTGCGGGGGCCTGGGTGGGGGCCTGCCAGCCCTCCCCACAGCGGGAGCAGGCTCCTGGCACTGGTGGCCAAGTTTCCCCGAGTTCACCTTGAGCCTGGTGCCTCAAACTTTGTCCTGCTTACTGCGTTTTGCCTCCTTGACTTCCTCCCCCGAATCCCTTCATCATCCCAGCACTGGGGCCGCAGCTCCGAGGAGTTCCCAGCCCGAGGAGTCCAGCCTTGTGCTGCTCTGCCCCGTGCCGGGGGCTGTTGGCCAAAGTGGGGGCTCCCTGGGGCTGCCCGTGCGTGCTGCCTCGTGCTGGCAACCCAATCCAGCCCACCTCCTCCCTGGAATACGCCTGGAAAATGTTTTAATGAGGAGCAGCCTGCAGGGCTGTAGCGCTAATGAGAAAGTGCCTGAAGCGACCGAGTGGTTACGGCTACCCAGGAGATGGCAATACCTGGGCGCGTTTCCGATTCCCTTTGCTTAGTTCCTGTCACTAAGAGGTTGCTGTGTGACATTCATCGACTCAAACCAGCTCCAGCTCAGGGGCAGCGAAGGCTGAAATATTATTCCTCAGCTTGCAAATATGAGGAGAAGCTGCGATTGCCGTGAGAGCTGTCGCTTTAGCTGACAGAGTTGGAGATCTCTGCTGAGATCCGACCTACAATAATACAGCAGATTTTGGAAAACTAATGGGCAGGATGGAAAAGCTTTGTTTCCTTGTGCCAGCAGTGGATCCGAACGCGTTTTGACTTGCTACCAAATATGGGAAGGTATCTCTGCAACCCTGCAAAAGGGCTGGGTGCTCGCTGGGTCCAGGGAGGCGAAGCAGGGCAATATCGTGCGGAGAGAGCCAAGAGGCTGAATCGAAGGGAAAGGATGGGAACGGAGGGATAAATTAACAAAATCTATCAGTCTCTGCCCTTTGATCCACCACACCACCTTGCTGTGCTTTTTAATTCTGCTTTTCCCTGTGCTGATTTCCATGCAACAGCCATGGCACAACCCTGGATCAACACCCTGCCATGGCCATGGAATGGCCATGGCAGGGTGTTGATCCAGGGTTGTGCCATGGATGTCTTACCTGAAAGTCACCCTGGGAACTTCATCATTTCCAAGCTGGCTGTAGAAGAACAGGCATAACAGAGTAACCAGCTCCGATTTACCTTGCCTACTGCCGTGCATTGATGGCAGCGCGTAGGCAACGCCAACGTTCCAGGGCCAGGCTGTGTGGCACTCGTGCCTGGCACGGGAAAAGCTCACGGGGTCACCTTTTCCTGCTCTCTCACACAGCTACATCTGGCAACACATTGAGATCGGCTACGTGCAGGGGATGTGTGACCTGCTAGCCCCTCTCCTGGTCATCCTGGATGATGGTGAGTGGGTGGCTCTGCTCCCGCTGTCCCCCAGACCTTGGTGGGAGCGCGGGGGGGGAGGGATCTGCAGGGCTGGTGGTGGCCCTTAGCAGCAGGAGGGTCCCGTGCTTGGAGGTGTGGAGCAGGATTCCATTTGCCCTTGATGCTCTCTGACTCCCAGGAGCCCAACCTAGGGACACACTTTTTGTGGTGTGCGTTTCCAAGGCTGGTCCTTGCTGCGCATTCCTGGCTCTGTGCGGAGCGGGGAGGGATATTCAACACCTACAAATATCTCAAGGGTGGGGGTCACGAGGATGGAGCCAGACTCTTTGCAGTGGTGCCCAGCGCCAGGACAAGGGGCAATGGGCACAACCTGAAGCAGAAGAGGTTTCAGTTAAATATGAGGAAAAACTTCTCGACTTTGAGGGTGCCCAAGCCCTGGCCCAGGCTGCCCAGGGGGGCTGTGGAGTCTCCTTCTCTGGAGATCTTCAACCCCCGCCTGGCTGCTGTCCTGTGCCCCCTGCTCTGGGTGAGCCTGCTTGGGCAGGGGGGTGGGATGGGTGAGCTCTGAGGGCCCTTCCAACCCTTGTGATTCTGTGATTCCCACCATGAGGGGATGGTGGGGCGCGGCGATGCGGGTGCCGACGCGGCAGAGCAGTGACTTCTCTCTTCCCCGTGCAGAGGCTCTGGCTTTCAGCTGTTTCACCGAGCTTATGAAGAGGATGAACCAGAACTTCCCCCACGGGGGAGCCATGGACACCCACTTTGCCAACATGAGATCCCTGATCCAGGTGGGGGTCCTGGCACAGTGTTGGCAGCCTCGCAAGCTATGGGGGGGAGAAAGCTGTTCTTGGGACAGCGGGCTCGGCGGGGCTGAGAGCAGCTTCCAGTGGCGGGAAGCAGGAGGGAGAGGAGGGGGCTGTTAAGAGAGCCTGGGAGTGACACGTGCCAGGACAGCAAAGGAGGGAGAAGCTGGGTGGAAGGTGCGGTGGGAGAGCCGTGGGGACGGGGGAAAGCAGGCAGAGGGACGGCTGGTGCCTCTGGTGTGCGCTGATGAGTTTCCTTTTGCTTTTCCTGGCAGATTCTGGACTCTGAGCTCTTCGAGCTGATGCACCAGAACGGTGATTACACTCATTTCTACTTCTGCTACCGGTGGTTTCTCCTGGACTTCAAGAGAGGTGTGTGCTGGGAGGGGGGCAGCTGAGAGCCCTGAATGGGGAGGGAGGGCGAGGTCTGCCGAGCTTCCACACTTCTCAATACACTCTGTGACTTCACTTGTCTGAAGTTAACTTTTTACCGTGTGTTCCTGTTTTCCTTTCCCCTGGTAGATTTGTGGCTGACTTTTCTGTCTCGATACAGAACCCGTTGGTCCGGAGCTGCTGGTGAGCCTCCATGGGGTTTGTCGCCCAACGCCTGTGCCGCTGGCTGCAGGCCAGAATATTTGTCTCTAGAGATGACTGACTTCCAACCCAAACAGGTTCTTGTGGGAAGAAACCACCCAGCCTTGTCTTCCCAGTGCTGCTGTGAACTCTGGGAGTTGGGATGACTGTAAACCCGTGGCTGGTGGAGTAACTGCTGGGCTTTTTCCTCTGTTGACAGAGCTGGTGTATGACGACGTGTTCGCCGTCTGGGAAACCATCTGGGCAGCCGCGCATGTTTCCTCTGCACACTATGTGCTCTTCATCGCCCTGGCTTTGGTGGAAATGTACCGGGACATAATCTTGGAGAACAACATGGATTTTACAGACATCATCAAGTTTTTCAACGGTACAGCTTGTGTTCTGTGGGGCTGAATTTGTGGCAGCGGCTCAGCCGTAGGCAGCACATGGCTCTAGGCAGTCATATCTGGGCTATACTGGTAAATGTTTAGAATGAACAGAGCAGTGCGTGGTTGTGCAATGCTGATGCTTGGAACACGATGGTAAAGAGACCCCTCGCCCCTGCACAGCCGGGGTCTGGTGGTGCCTGGGGGAAGCCACCCTGCCATCCTTGGCAACAGCCCACCTTGCCGTGCTTGAAGGGATCCGTGCGTGTCAGTTGTGCTTCCTGCTGGCTGTGATCGTCCCGAGATGAGCTGGTTAATGATGGCTCTGCCAGGGATGGTGCTTGGGGACCGGGGCAGGAGCTTGCAGCTTCAGCTCCGCCTGGAGCTCGGCTGAGAAGCAGAGAGCTGTGAGGCTGGGGGGCTCCGAGATGCCGGGCTGCTCGGGTCTAGCGTCTCTGTGGGTTCCTTCTGTCTGTGTTCCAGAAATGGCTGAGCGGCACAACACCAAGCAGATCCTGAAGCTGGCTCGGGACCTTGTCTATAAAGTCCAGACTCTGATCGAGAACAAATGAAGGACATGGGGAAGACGAGGCATCCAAAGAGCCGGGACTCCCCTTCAATGCTTCCTCCCCTTCTCCTTTTTCTCGAAGTGCCACACCCGTGGAAATAAGGTAGTTGGACACGTGCTGCTGTCTAAACTGGAAGTACCCTTAGCTCTCCAAGTGCTGTGTTCAGTGTTGGGTCCAGGGCCCCCAGCTCAGATCTTCGCAGCCTTCTTCAGTGACTTAACCAAAGATCTGTACGATTGCAGTTTATTGCTAAGGACTCGCTTTGGAAGCGGGACCCCGGCAGTCACTGCCTCGCCTCGCTGCAGCAGAGGGGCAGCGCCTGTGGTTGCCACCACAACTGCCAAGGCAGCCGCCAGCATCCCGGGTCAGAGCCCGGGGTCTGGGAGAGCAGAGCTGCCAGCCCTCCTCGGGGCCGACTCGGGCTTGACAGCCTTCGTCGCAAGGAAATAAAGCTGCTTGCCTGGACAGCCATCGCCCTGCGGCGCGGGGAAGGCAGCCAGCCCTGCGAGCCTGGGCAAGACAGGGATGCTGCCAGTGCTCCGTTTCTTAGTAACGATACGAGGTTCTGCCAGTAACAGAGAGGGACTTGGATCACAGAAATTCCTCCTCTTTTGATCTTGTCCCTTGATGCATAGCATCCGCTTTAGTATTTTTTTAGGGCTCTCTTCTCTCCCTGGGATTTTTATGTTGTTTGTTACTACAGGATCTGAGCACACAAGAGTTTCAGCTCTGGATGGATTTTTAGAAGACCTCCAAATTCAGCATTGGGTTTTTCTTTCGAAATCCAGCCTCTGTCCTGCTCTTTGAACACTGGAAAATGTGGTCCTAACCTCCTCTGGGAACTCGAGACCTGAGGTGGCCATACCTGCCTTACTCTAGCCACTTGCGTTCGGAGTCTGGTCTCCCCCTTGTTCCTCTGCAGCCCCCGGTAGGGGAGAGCTCCTCGGAGGGCAAGTCAGAGCTCCCCGCTTCGGAGGCTGTCCTGACTTTCCCTCCGAAGGTGCCTGCCTCTTCCTCTCTTAATTAAAAGACCGGCTGCTCAAAGCCAGACAGTGCAAACCACCCCCTTGGTGCCTGCAGGTTTTCTGTGTGCTTCTGGGGGTGGCTGCAAAGCCCCCTAAGTCCACTGAAAGTCTCCAGTTCGGTCTTGGTGGGCTTGCTTCGTGTGCCTGCGAAGAGGAGAAGAGCCCAAGGCCCCTGCGCGGTCTGTGCTTTTGGAAGTTGTGCCGCTGTGGCCCCTTTTCCTGCAGGGGCTCTCCAGCGTCGCAGCCCCTGGGGCGCGGTGGGTGAAGTGCCCCCGCAGCACTGCCCGCGTGAGAGCCCGGCTGCCGCGCCGCCGAGGCTGCGCTACGGAGGGTTTGGATTCTTTTTTTCAACTCAGGTAAAACCAAGAAAGGCAAAGGAGAGGGGTAGGCTGTTGGTAGGTCCTGTTCAGCCAGGGAGGGCTCGGTCACGGCCGCCGAAGGCTGCCGCGAGCGTGTGCTTTCAGCAGCAGGGAAGATGCTGGGTTGTGGCTCTCTCTAAGGGTTCTTTCTCTCAAGTTTTGCTGCAAAAATTCGTGTTGCCCCTCCGTGCCGTGTGTGCTGTGTGCGTGCTCTCCTCCTCCCCTCTGCGAGGTAAGGCCCTGCTCTTCTCTTGCTGTCGGAGTGCTGCTCAGCAGAAGGGAAAAGGGGCCCTTCCCTTCGTGTCGGACATCTGTCTGTGCCGCCTGCGTTCTGTATTTACTCGAGGCATGTGTCAGATGTTGCTTGCAGAAAAAAAGACAGATGGAAATCTGCAGAAGAGAAAACTGCTGCTTCTGAACAGTTGTGCAGAGGGCGGTGAAGCCGTTTGCAGTTTCTGAGCAGATCGGCTCCTCTTTCCGCAGCGCTGGGACGCAGAGGCTGCAGCTGCAACGCCAGGGCACGGGAGCGCGTAGTGAACCCTTTGGGGAAGGGGGTGAGAGCAACGGGGGGAGCCGTTCTCATAACCCCCACAAGCAAATGTCTACCAACGAGCGAGGCAATTCTTCAAAGCAATTTTCTGCATTAAATCTCCAATGAGTAGCACAGGAAACAAAGGAACTTGGGCTTCAAATCTGCCAGTTCACGTGCAAATCTGTCATCTTTGCACAAAGCAGAGCGGGAAGCTCGTGCCCTCCCTACCAGGCTGCTCCTGTTCCCTCTGGGTCCGAGGACAGGTAACAGTCTCCCCTCCGGAGGGGAAGGGGAGGGGAAGTGCTCTGGCCTCCCCTTTCTGGGGGACAGGAGCCAACAGGTCAACTTAAACGCAGTCTTATCGAGCAACATCGCTGACACTTTCTCTTTCAAGCTTCTGTTTTTCTTTTCTTGGTTTTTTTTTTTTTTTTTAACCAGCCAAGAAATTCTGCACAATATTTGCTGTCTGTATTAACTGAGAGTGTCTCTGGGCCGCTCAATAGCAGTGTTTTTTTGAATAACTTCTGAATTTATTTCTGGGGGGGGGGGAAAAAGTATTTATTTATTGATTGTACATTACTGTGTGTCCTTGTACACTGAAGTGTGTGCGTGCGCATTGTTATGCAAATGGAGATCGATCTTTTCAATGTTCTTTACAATATCTTGTAAATGTTTACCAGAAAATTGTGTCTATATATAATATATATATACAGTATAGAGAGAAAAATATGGGAGTTAAGTGGGTTATTTTTTGAGGGGGGGAGAAGAAATCTTTCGCTTCTAAGAACTGTGTGGTTTCTATAGCACCTATTCCATGATGTGCCAATCCGTCCCTGTCCCCGTACTGTGAGAGAGGTTCCGGTACGGCAACGGGAAGCTCCGAGCAGGAGAACCATCGCGACCTCAGCTGGGCTCGATTTTAGTGCTGACTTTAAAACTGGAAAAGAAGAGGAAAAAAAAAAAAAAAAAAGAGGAAAATAAAAACTAAAGCAAGCTTTGTGGTGCTGAGTAGAGTCCGCAGGAGCAGACCTCGTGCCTGCCCTGGGCTTAGTGTGGGTAAGAACCGTTGCAGGGTTGAGGCTTGGTGTGGATTTGGATAGTCCAAAGAACATGGTGTGCCATTTAAGCCGGGACTGAAGTCATCCTCCTTTGCAGCTGATGGTACCGGTTTGTTAGGGAGTACTACGTGACCCGTACCGAGCACTTGCGGAGCTGATCCGCTCTCCTAACTAGCGCCCGTCCAGACCGGCCCTGCCGAGGGCAGCGTGCCCCACGCGCAGCTCCGCTCCAACTCGTACGGAAGTCGGCGAAACCCACCTGCTCCCGCGGGAGCTCCAGGAGCAACTTGGAGGCCCGGCTTTGCGTTCCCGTGCAGGTCTGAGATGGAAGATGTGAGCGGTTTCCAGGCCCTGCGCTGGTGGACGGTGCTGTCCCCCGGCTGCCCGCCCTGCCAGACGCTCGCCGCGCTGCCGGCTCCACGCCTGGTCCCAGCTCGGTTTCGAGCATCTTGGCAGAGGTCGCAGCGGGCAGCAGCCGTGCTCCCTGCTGAGCCCACCGGGACAGCCGCTCTCCGACCGGCAGCTTTTGGGGTGACCCATAGCGGAGCAACACCAGGAGTCGGGGGCTCAAGATCGATTCGATGCTACTAGAATTTAAGGAAAGGTTTTTCTCCAGCTCCTCCCCAGCCGCCTCCTGCCTCAGCCTCTCCTCTGCTGGATTGCCCTGAGACAGAAGCATCGTTCTGGGTTCCCGACAGTGTGAATCCCCCTGGCCCGGCGAGACGGCCCGGTTCCCCCCCGGCTGTGCGGCCCGAGGAGCGCCTGTTTACATGGAGGGAGAAGCCCGTCGCAGGGGAATGCTTGCCCATATACAGTAATCTTGTCTGGCTCCTTGGGGAGAAGAATGTCTCATCCCAGCAGCTCCGTGCAGCTGGAATCCACCCTGGGCAATGGCACTGCAAGCCAGGGACTGTCTTTAGCCTGCTGGGGATGGCTTCTGCAGGACCAGGGGCGTAGCGAGGTTGGGGTCCCGCTTGCCCCAGCCCATGTTCTCTGCTCCCGGCTGCAGCAGAGCAAAGCCTGAGCAAAGGACAGACTCCACGGGCTGAGCGGGTCAACCCGCGTTGCACCCACACTCAGCATCCGCAGAGGGGTGGGGGGGTTCGCTTTGCCTTTCGTTAGAGCGGCTCAGCTCCCAGAAAATCTCGGAATGTTTAACTACAGTGAACGTTCGTGTCCTGGCTCCGTGTTCCCGCCAGGGAGCTGCTACTGGAGTCTCCTCCTGCATTTGAGCTTTCTGCTGATGGAACCTACCCGATAGCTCTTGGTACTCATCTCCTTTAGTGTTGCTCATGTAAACACTTCAGAAGTTGTCTCTGTTCCTAAATGTGAGGTTTTTATGGGAGTTTTTCTCTTACCGTGTTGAGTCTCTGAACTGCTTTGCTGTTAACGTTTTTCACGAAGACCGAGAGGGTTTATTGCGTGGGAACTCCTTGCTGCCGTCCTGTTCTGCTCTCACCCAGCCTCTTACGATCTGAACATCCTTTAACGTGGCCAAACGTACCTTTTCTTGTAACTGGAGCCAGCAGTAGAAATGCAGGTACCGGCAAGCGTTGTCGCGGATAAGTAAAAACCAGATCAAGAGAAGGGACTGTGCTTGGTGTGGTAGCCAGGGATCGCAGGGAACCCACCCATGGGCAAGCTGAGCCCGTCCCTAAATCCCACCTTGGAGACAGGAGCTTGCAGTAGTTGGGTGGTGATGAGCAATTTAGGGGATGAGATTCTTCTTGTTCTTTCTTCTTTATTTGTCGTCTTATTTTAATCTGGCCGGCTCGTTTTCCTTTCTGTCCCCGTTCACTTTGAGTAGTTGGCTGATTCCCTGCACTGGGAGCCAGTGCTCAAACGGTCCTCAAAACAGGGGCGGGACCGGTTTCAGAATTCTCATCACCTAAGTTTGCTTTTAAAAATACCTTCTGCCGTCTTACGTTGCTGCTCTCTGCCATGGCGTTGCTGGGCAGTGAGTGGTGGCCCGTTCCTCAGTGGGGCCCGGATCATCGCCATTTCATCCAAACGGCTGACGAATTTTTTT